TTTAAAGTGGGGCTGAGCTACACCAGGCCTAATTTTCTCACCCTGCCAGGTTTTCACGTCTCCTGCCTGCCCTGGAGGTATCTCCGCTGGAAACGTCTACCTTAAGTCATGGCTGAGTGTCCACGCTGAGTTCTATAGGAATAAAGTTTTGAACTCACAGAATGAGTATTTGTAAATTTGAACACATGCTTTTTGTGTTATGTCCATATAGCTCATAAAGGAAAGAAGGTGCGTCATGGTTCCTGCTTTCGTTTTCATGAGGGCAGAGTTTTAGTCACTTCAGGCTACTTCAACAGAATACTATAACCTGAGTGGCTTTCTCACACCAGATAACTATTCCTCCCCGTTCTAGAGGCTGACGTCCAAGATCAAGGTACCCGCAGACTCACCATTTGTGAGTCCCCGTCTTAGAGGGTGAGGATTTCCACATGTGAGCTTTGAGGGGACACAAACTCAGTCCATTGTAGGCAAAGAGCCTGCAGCAGACAGCTGGATGCCCCACCTCTCTCTTTCCAGGAAAATCTCTCTCTCTGCAACTTCCAACAGGTGGGGTGACGATGGCCTCCTGGGAAGCCCCAGGGGACTCTCTCATGGGACAGGAGGTCATTTGTGAGATCTAGCTGGTCAGTGGAGAAGTTAAAAAAGCAGCAGATGCCCCCATTTACCATCTTTCAGGGGTCTCCAGTCCTGCTTGGCTCCCTCCCATTCTGCTCTGTTTTCAAGGTATGCACTCGCATCCTTGCAAAGCTGTTGCTGCGGGGGAGCAAAGCCCCCTTCCTCTCTGGCCCCATCCTTCACAAGTTACACGAGATGATACACCTGTTCGAAATATTTATTTTTCTCTTTGCAAATAATTTGGGATAAACTAGGTCAGTTCAGAAGCTTGGGCATCCCAAAGAAACCTGTTCTTGGCACTGAAACAATGGAACAATGCCTTGGCTTAGCTTAAATAAAAAGCTGGAGCAAGATGAAAGGAAGTGATCTCTAACCCTCTAATCTGCAGCCCAGTCTCACAAATCTGAAGCGATGTGAGACACCACCAGAGAAAAACCCCAATGGTTGCCATGGAGACCGGGCACCCTGAGCACCTCCAGAAGCCCAATGCCTGTCCCTGGGTACCCTCTTTCCTGACCATGTATTTTCAAACTGACAGTGTCAGGTTGCACCAGTCTGGGTCCAAGACATTGGGGAATTGGTTTGGCTTTGTTTTCTTGTGTTTTCTTTTTTCTTTTTGTAAACTATTATGACCTTAGTTTATATATTTATGTATATATACACCTAGTGAGAAACACGCAATGCAAACCCCCCATCTGGATAAACACACTGTAAGCAGACAATAAAAGCTTTATCAGATTATGAAACAGTGGGCAACATTCTCGTATACTTAGCTGCTCAGAGGAGAATTTCCGCCCTGCCCTGTTGCCTGGCTGGCCCCTCCTTCTCACAGGTAGGCTGGTTTGAATGCCACTGATGCTGGGAGTGTCCCAGCATGGCCCAGTTAGAGAGACCTGCCATCTACTGTTTCTGCTGCTGTGATGCCGGGTGAAAATACAAAGACCAAGTCCCGAAAGGCCCTTCAGCCGTGGTTGGAGGTGTGGTGTGCAATTTCACACGCAAAGAGGCATACACCAGGGAGGCTGGGGGGTGACCACCACGCCTTTTAACTACTTGTGCCCTAATGCTTGGGCAGCACACTTCCTCTTTCTCTCCATCTCCTTGTCCTCCCTTTCCTCAAACAAAATGTATCTAACTGAAAAGAATTCATTTCGATCAGAGCAGCCCCAAACTTCCCAAACCCCAAGCTCAATGCTATGAAACAGCAAGTTCATTCAGAAATCTCCTTCACCTAGGAAATATGTTTCATCAAAATATAAAAATGTAAAGCAAGCTTTGGATGTGACTCTCTGCATTGTTGTCACATAGGAACCTAATTTATAACTTAGAATATGTGTGTTTATAACATTCTCAAAACAGATATTTGAAATCAACACAATAAGGGCACTTAAAACAGTAAGGCACCCTCAACAGCTCTATTAAATATTATCCTGATAGAAAGGATTCACAGCAATTGATTGGATGCAATATTTTATATGAATCTGATTTGAAATGTTTCCTATCTTTGATTAGACAAGTACCCATTAAGGTCAGGAATCCAACTTCATCATGATTGATAACTACCATCAAATACAGCCTTAAGCATCTCAGACATGTCACCCTCCGTAATATATTCTTGGAAATAGCCATTGTAATATTGTAAGGGCCAACTTGCCTTATCAGAGGAAAGGCTCAGTAATGGGGACAGTGGCCCACAGCTGTCACGACGAAGAGCCCAGTTAGCTTCAGCTCAGCTCACACTGACTGGACCCTTCTGCACTGCCAGCCAGGTTCCCATGTACACTATGAGCTATACTTCTGCCAGTTAAAATCCTCTGAGTCTAAAATGAGTAGGAACACATAAATGCAAATGGACTGATTGAATCCTGGGCTCCTGTTTACAAATAACCAGTGCAGCAATTTTTTATGGTAACACTAGGTAAGAATTTAAAATGAATCTGCATCTCCTCCTAATGGGAACAGGCACATGAGCATTCTTAGACAGAAGGCTCCCACTTGGCCACAAAGAGATGTGCCAATGCCCTGTAGGGAGGAACTAAGGGTTTCTTGTGCCATTTCAGGGACTGAGAGGAAGTCCTGTTACTCCGGGCTATTGGCTTCACTATGTCACTGAGGACAAAGCTCATTGTGTGTGTGGCGGGGGGGGGGGGTTACTCAAGTGAAAGGTGACTATGATAACATCGTGCCAGGCCAGTGATTGCTGGGCTCAGTCCTAACTCGAGGAGGGAAAGGGAAGGCCATGTCTTTAAAATGTAAGGAGCATGGCTGCTGGGAAGCAGCTTAGAAATAGATCCCTGAGCCAGACGGTAGTAACAGGAGGATGCCCTGAAGTTATCCCCAGTAGATCCTCGCCCCCAGAAGACAGTCTAAGACCAAAGTCATGTGACACTCTATAGCTGCGCATTCGGAAATAGGAAGAAACCTATGATGTGCAATCTGTGGCTTCCTAACCTTTGTACACAACTTGGCAACATTCTGCTGATTCCAGAAAACAAAAGCCGTCCGGCAACACACCCAGAAGCTGCCCTCCAAGAGGGCAAAATACCCACCACATTTTGAAACTCAGCTGTGGAGATTCTGAATTTTCTTTGCAGACCTCACTACTTGTCTGTCTTGTATAATGAGATGAAATGAGAACCCTTTGCGAAAATGACCACTACTATGTAACTAACATGTGCTTTTTTAAAAGAGAAAACTGTTTTCACATTTATTAGTCTATCTTAAGCCCTTCTAATATGTGCATGCTCTTTCTTATTTCAAAGGGACAGTTTTCCTCTCCTTCTTTGTAAGAGGTCCTACTAGGACGGGATTCTCTGTGAACACCTGGACCAATGTCTTCAAAGTGGTTAAGAGGAGTAGTAATTAGAGATTCTGGGAGATACAAAGAGAGAAAATGAGCTGTCTCTAGAAGTGTCCTCTATGAAATTCCAGATACAGCCCCATGGTGACATTTTGATCAACAATAGACCAGAATTCCAATGGTGACCCGTCGGAAGCTTTGTACCACGACCCATGGCTACGCTGCCATCCTGGCCCAGTGCATTACTCACATGCCTGTGCAGGTGTTGCTGTACACAAACCTGCTTCTTCACCAATTGTGTAAAGTACAGCACATAAAATCACACACAGTACACAGTATCCGCGAGTGATCCCAGTGACTGTTACCAAACATGTCTCACCATCAGGAGTGCACGGCCGGAGCCAAGCTCTTCCCTGTGGATTACCTGTGCCCCTCTTGGGCAGTCTGTACCTCCAAGTTCTATTATTTTGCTGGCTCCTGTGACAGAACAAATGCACACTTCAGGCAAGATTAAAATAGGAAATCACAGTCATAACATCTTCATGCACACACTCTCTCATTTCCTGTTGGTGTAAGCACTTTTCCATTTAAAGCATGTTTATGGTTCACCAACCTAGAGCATCTTCCTAATTAGCACTTGATGTCTTACCAAATAACGCCCATAAGGACTGCGCATACCCAAAAGGCAGAAGCCACAGAAGACTGCCAAATCCACAGAGGGAGCATCAGCGTGGGAAGAAAGACGGGCATGGGGAAGGTAGAACCAAAGAAACGGAGCAAATAACAGATTCTTCAGCATAAAACAGACTTGTGAGAAGCTAATTGCTGCAGATTTTATCACGCCCAAAATAAAATGCAGGGAAAATATCATGAGCATACTGTAATGCATAAAATCTTGACACTTGTGATAAAATACTCAAAATACACACTGGAAGGTTGGAGCTCGTCTGTAATGTTCAGTTCTGTAAATTATTCCAAACAGCTAGCCATATTTGTGGCATCACATTGAACTGGGTGAGAGAGGAAGAGAAGAAACAAAAATAGACCCTGCTCTTCCTTGGAAATGCACGTCCCAGAAGGTGGCTTCTGAACAGCCAGGAGCAGTGCTCCATGAGGGCGGAGGATCTCATGTCAGAGGCAAAAGTGTGGGCCAGGACAGAGGAGGGATTCGGCCAAATGGCTCCCTTTTTCAGATACAGGGATTCAAAATCTCTTACCTCGTGGCCTCTCTGGGATGAAGCAGAGACAGCTCTTCTTTGGTAATTACCATAAATGATTGTGTATCACTCAAGAGTTTGGAGGAGCCTGTGGGAAGATTACATTCTACAGATTTGATCGCTGAAAATGCCTGGGTTGGAGCTGTAATTATGGGCTTTCTGGGCCAGCCGCAGCACCTCCCCTGGGATTATTTGCATAAACTCCTTGCCTGTGACGATTCCTGAATGCAACAATCCCCTCACTATTAGGTCCAGGCAGTGAAGGGGACGTTTCTTAGGTTAGAATTTTATCATAACTTTTGTTCAGCAACCTCCATGTGGCTGTAGCCTTAAAAAACAAACACACCTGGAGTTTTTCTGTCCTGTCAAGCACTTCAACTATAGAACCACGGAACACCTAGAATGATCAAGAATACCAATGGAGCAGAGGAGGGTGGCTTTAGAGTGGTGACTTTCAACTAGAAAGTGACAGCAACCATTGTGGACACGCTTTATTAGAAACAGGAAGGGAAAGGAAAGCAGAGCCGGTGGGGGTTGCATTTCAAGAGCCGAGGGCAGGAGTCAGAGAACCTAGGATTTGGACCTCAACCCCAAGTTGTAAGGGTCAAATGAAATCATGGGCTGAGAGCCTTGGACAGTACTTCACTGACATGCATTATATGACCAGACTCCTCAGAGGGCACAGAGAAAATGGAGAACAGTGAGAGCTCAGAGGCCCTGAGGGCATTCGTTCTTCAGTGGCCACACAGGAAGAGGACCTATTTCACAGAGCACAACCCGGCAGGGCCTCCTGCCCACCGCGGAAGTCGCTCTTGCCATCTGCTTGAAAAGGTTCTATGTCCAGCAGGACCCCCCAGAAACATCAAGTGATCCAGAAAGAAGAAGGTTGAGGAATTTAGTGGCAAACGTGTCTACGTGTTACTCACAGAGACACTAGGGAGGAGGTAGCTCCAGGGTGAGGGCTTTCTGGGCAGACGTTTGCTCCTGAGGCTGTGGTGCCTTAATGTGAAGATGCTGGGAGCCTTGGATTTCTTCTCTTCTCTGAATGACAAACACGACACACACATGCAGAGGGAGGAGCCATCCACAAGAGTGGTGCTACAGAAGTCCTGGTCCACACACCAACACTTGCCCACATGTGTACACGCTTGTGTGCACAGACACACATACACACACAGGCAAACACACACACAGGATTCACCCCAACTTCTGAGTGACACCCACCCCATTCAGGAAAGAGAAGACCTATTCTCTGCATAAATTTTACTTACACTAAGAATTATTTGCTTGAAAGTTAATGCACCTCCCAATTTCCAGTCTCTTAGCAAGGACTATCTCGCACATCCATCATAAATGACTCCTGAAATCCTCCACGCTGCTACACGAATCTCAGCTTTCATCTCCCGTCAGTCTGCCAGGAGGACCTCTCCGATGACCTTAGGGGATCGAAAACAAATGATGCACATGAGTGAACGGCTATTAAGCACAGCGTGTTGTCGTCTCCCAGCAAGGCCTGACTCCGCTGTTTACCGAGTGGGCGCCGGAGGCTCACGGAGAGCTTTACACTGTCCTTGGTAATCCCAGCACCTTCTTCACACAGGGGTCCCCACCAGACTCAATGACTGAGGTGAAGGAAGAGCAATTTCCTGGAGGTTTCCTCCCCCTGCTCGACTGTGGCACACCATGAATGACCTCAGACACACAACACAATATTTTAATACGATTTCTCTGACATCAATTTTTTAACCACGCACGATCATTCATGGCAAGCTTTTCGGGTTCCTTGGAATAATGGTGTGCTTACAAACTTTATAGAAAGGCCATGCCAGGTTGTGACGAGTTGCACAATTACATGTGCAAGGCATGAGCACATTTTTCTGACGTAGCCACTGAGAAGCAGCTCACCAAGAGAGCAAAATTCTGCCCATGTCTCAGAGCCCCCATAGCGTGATCTGGCCACATCTGTGCAACAGTCACCTCATACTGCCCAGTGGTGCCACCTCTGAAGGAATTCGGCTACTGGCTCCCACCCTTTCTCTTCAGGACCCCTCTGTGCAGCCTCGGCTGCTGATCACTACTCCGCTGTGCAATCTTGTGAAATGAGAAAATCTTCCTTCATTTTGCCTCTTGTCAAATGCTGCCAAGAAACAGGTTAACATTCAGCTTCTCCCAAGGAAGAAAGGACAAAGAATAGCAGCAGCTTCCCCCAGACTACAACTGAATTTCCATCATGTACCACACACTGCTCAGTTTGGAATCTAACAACTGCCCCAAGTGAATTTTCACATTTTTCTACTATTAAGGACATTTCCATGTATTCATTTTTTTTTTAATGTATTGAGCCCAGACCTGAGTTTTTCCCCCACTCTTCCAAATTTATAGGTTGAAGCCCAAACCCCCACTACCTCAAAATGTGACTGTATTTGGAGACAGGCCCTTTAAAGGGGTGATTAAACTCAGATTGATTATGAAGGTGAGGTCTAATCTAATGCGACTGGCATCCTCACTGCAGAAGAGATGCACAGAGGGAGGGCTGTGGGCAGACAGGAACAGATGCCCATCTTTAAGCCAAGAGAGGCATCAGGAGAAGACAACCCTGCTGCCACCTTGACCCTGGACTTCCAGCCTCCAGAGCTGTGAGAAAACAGACTTATTTATTATGGAACCCCTAGGAAACTAATGCAGACACTTAAATTATACCAGAGCCATTGTTAAAGATGATGGAGAGGGGTTAGTGAATTGAACAACACCAGGTGTTGGCTGGCCTTCCAGGGTGAAACTGACAGGAAGTCAGATAAAGGCTAAGCTGAGTGAATTAATGAGTGAGGAAATGAATTAATGAATGAGTACCTGTAGCCAGAGTCCAGAGTATGAAAATGTGAACTTGGAGTGAGAGTGTTTAGGACATTTGCGTTCTAATATGCTATTCCCATAAGATAGGGCGTGATAAAACAGTTTGTTCCCCTCTCCTATTACTTCTTTTTCAACCCACAAAACTCATGATCAAGGTATTAGAAATGCAGTTAGTCTCCTCAGAGGAGAAGCTTCAGTGCTTCCTATTATCAGTGACTTGTAGGAAGGCACCGATCATGTAGACCTTATCAGGAGGCCCCTGGGTTCAGTGAGTTACTTTACAACAGAGCTGTAATTCTTCGTGTTCTTTCTGGTTACCCAGGGAATCAGAACGGTGGTTCTCAACCTGGAGAGAGTGAGGCAGTGCAGGTCCCTGGGTCCTGTCCACAAAGACTCCGTGTAGATGTGAGTGAGACCTGAGCATCACACATGCTTAAACCTTCCCGCTGATGCTGGTGCTCGGTCGGGACCCTAAACACTCTAAGAGGCTCTAGTCAACCCGCCAGCTCCTCAGCGGACACTGGGTGCACGCCCTGCCCACCCTCTCCGGTGCCTGGGCTTTGGCGGATATTGGGCTGATGAGCATGGATGGCGATTCAATTCAACCCAGCAGCGCCTCTTTGCTTACAACAGAACTCCAGGTATTTACGTTACTTGTTATTTAGAAGTAGGAGGAGCCCGGGAGATTGAAGTAAAAAGGGAAACCAAACATGTCCATTTAGCACTAGAAAGTTTATATCACATCTTCCAGATGGTAACTGGTACTTGGGGCTCTCTGCTATGAAGGTGCCATTGCTGCCCCCACCTTAGATGCTTTCTCAGAGTCACCGACCAGTTATGCATTTTACACTGAGACTGAGTAGCATCCAGGTCTTACTCTTTGAATGGCAAGATTTGGTAAATACAGTATATTCTAGAAGTCTTTAAAGAAAAACTCAAGCACCCAAACAAATTTGCCTGTTTTCTTTGGTCTTTCTACAAATTTAATCACAAGGCTTCTTAAAAATATGCCCCAGAACTGAGACCCACGAGACAGGAGGGAGAGTCATCTTTTGCGTCCTTTAATATGTACCTGGATCCTTAGTACTCCATTAACGTGATCAAGAAACAACCACTCTGACACTCAAGTTTGTGTTCCGTTTGTCCCTTGGTCTGTACATCCATTTGGCTACCACACCCACTCTGACTTTACTTGACTCAAATCCAGTTCTTTCCTTTTAAACCCATGATGGGTGCATTCCACATCTTCCCCGTGTGGCCTGGGGACCATGGAATCCCCCTGGCTTCCTCTTCTGGTCACTTTCTCAGTTAGGCAATCCTGTTATCCGCACCATGGTCTCCCTTCTTTGGTGTTTTGGTGGCTTTTCATTATGCTCTCCATTAGGTCCCAAGTACTAACCAACTCATGTCTGTCATCAAAATAGCACCAACCTTCACCTCCCTTCCTTAATTCTGTAAGTTTGCTACTTATCTTCAGTAGTAGCAGATTTGTCTTCAGTTTTAGTTTTGATTGGCTATCACTTTTTCTATCTCTGAACCTTCAAAGCTTCAGTGAAAGACTGGTTCATTAGGCTGTCAACTTTACCAAGTAATTCCTTAAAGCCTGTTTCCCAGCTTAAGCTTTCTCAGGATGTTTTTTAAAAAATAGTGCCTTACACAAGCACATAACTCCCATTAAATCTTCTGATGCTATCTTCCACTCACCACCGTGGAGCTGGTCTTGTGCAGATTGCTGATGCCATGTAATGAATTATTCATGTATGTTCTTGCACCTATATTCACTTTTCTACATGACCTATACACAGATGTCATTCAACTTGCATTAGACTCTAACGCTTAGAGCACAAGTCTATCCCTCTGTGCCTCAAGATCACATCTTGGCACAGGTTTGGAGCGTCAGAGCAGGCAGCAGAATTCCACTCAAATCAGTCAACTGAGAAGCCTTCATGAAAACACCATTTATAAACACTTAGAGTTAAAACTACCAAAAGGGGCATTGAGGCTCCCACAGCTCAGCAACACAAGCAAAGTTAAAGGGAGCGAAGAAAGGAAACAGTGTCACCAGAGATGAGTGAGCAATGGAGCCACAGAGGGCTCACCAGGTAGCTGACAACATGGATGGACATAGCTCTGTCATACCCTGAAGCACCAAGAGAAGGGAGACAATGCCATGGGCTCTCACTTCCCCAAACTCGTATCTCTAGAAAATGACTCTCTTTCAACAATCCTAGGGAAGGCAGCCAGCAAGGGATCATCCTGGGACAAGATGGGGACAGTGATCATAGAAAGTGGATATGGAGCAGGGGTGGGTGAGTGGGAAAAAGTCACAGTCCATTCAAAATGCCATCAACTGGCAGAATGTTAGTCAACAAAGGAAGAAATTTGTAGCTGGGTGTCAGTATCATGATGCACATCTGCAATCAGCATTCTGGGAGGCTGAGGCAGGAGGATCACAAGTTCTAGTCCCAGCCTGGGCAATTTGGTAACTCAGTGAAATCTTGTGTCAGATAAAATATTAAAAAGGGCTGAAATTTAGCCCAGTGTGAGGGCCCTGAGTTCAATACCCAAAAAAGAGGGAGAGGGGAGGGAGAAGGAAGAGAAGAGGGAGGGGGAGGGGAGAGAGGAAAGAAGGAAGGAAGAAGGGAAGCGAGGGAGCAAGGGAGGGAGGAAGAAAGGAGAGAGATCATTTAATGCAGAATTAACTCACCCGCCCCTGACTTCATGTGAATTTTCTCTGGCATATAAGCAAACGATGTCTTTGGCTGCTGTTTTAGTCACCAATGCATTTCCATTGTCTCTCACAGTACCAGTCACATTTCAGGTGCTTCATTAGTTAGTTAATTAATGAAATTTTAACCTATCTTTGAGTGAAGAAAAACATCTGTCAGAAGTATTGTGAAGGCTTCGTGAGGAAACTGCTACTTAATATGAAGGCTTGCAATAAACATAGGTCGGGGGTGCCCTGTGCTTTCCCACTTCTGTGGAGTCCAGAGTGACACAGGGTGAGTGAAGTTTCAAAGACCACATCCACAGAAGGTAGTGACAGTTTGTGACCCTGCAACCTGCCTCTGAAATTGGGGCATTCTCTCTTGTCTGACTCTGTGTATTCTTTAACCTCTATCACCTAGTTGCCAGGTATTAAATTAGGAAGCTCATTAAGCCCTCAGATTTCCCATATATATGGAACACATTGACAGAACACTGATTAGAAGTCTAGAATCATTTGATTTTTAAGAAGTGTGTTTCAAGCAAGCAAATATACATATGCATCCTCAGGATATGTTGTTTTAATCTTCAGTTTCAGCCATGTTTCTTATTGGTATCTCCCTTTCTTATCACACCTTTGAAATATGATTTTTTAAAATAGTTGCCATTAAATATAAACAGGATTTTTCTCTCATGCTATATTCTGAATATTTTACTCATATGCTGTGTTTATTAACTATAATCTCTCCCCATCACCACCACTTCCTCATTCTTCCTAACAAAATATAAGCAATGGGAGGACAGGGATTTTTAACTGTTTAATAATGAATCTTAGCTAGACGAGCAACTGGTTAATGTGATAGGGAAAAGTTTTAGATAACTTAATAGATTGAATATTAAGGTAGTTGTAGAAGCAAAGTAAGTAATGTGTTCCTTTAAGATTTGATTTTCCCATAACTCTTGTTGTTTAAGGTGACTTTAAGGTGACAGTTACCTGACTCTTTAACCAATAACTTCATTAACCTAACAAAGTTGCAATGCCAGGGTGAATTTACAATACATATGTGCCTATCTTGTGTCTGCGTCTTGTAAATAGGAACTGGAACTGTATTTACACATCAAAGACCACTAGGGATGAGATAATGGCTAAAAAGGATATAAAAAGAAAACTCTGAACAAAGGGGTGCAGATACTAACCAGACTGGTTTCTGGCAGTCCTGGCTGCTTGCAAGTAGAAGTTTTATTATTTTACCCGAATTCTGTGTCTCCATGCATTTCTTTCTGAGATTTCCGGAACAAATGGACGAGCAGTAAACATCTGCTCCGAAGGGGGAGATTTCAGTGTTTCCTACTCCATGTGAGTCGCTGTCCCGCATGCTATAGATGGTACTGTGTGGTGAGGAAGAACAAAGGCCAATTCCAAATTGTAACCCTAGACCCTGAGAAGAAGGAAGTGAAGAAGTTAGAGGATAAGCAGAAACAGAAAAATGTCCTCCTGAAAATATGAAGGGCGGGGGAAGAGGCGTCTGCATAGGTGTCCGTGGGATGCTTGGCAGCCTGGTTCATCGAGTCCTGAGGGCCACTCCCATCCTGCACGCCCCTGAAGGCCTGTGGCCCTCAGAAGTCTGACACCTGGCTTCATCACCAGCATAAGCCTGGGTCTGCTTTCCCCAGCCCCCCAAATCTCTGCTTCTGATTTGCTGCTTCCTATCTGTCTGCTCCCCCTGCCACACTGCTGTTTACCCTGCAAGCTCCTACTCAACCTTTACTGCCCTCCCAACCGTCCTGTCCTCTGAAGAACTCCAGCTCACGTCACGGAGCTCTTCCTACCAGTGTGGGTGATGGTGACAGCGCCAACACTTCCTAAGGACTTGCTTTGCTTGTACCTTGTACCAAGGGTACATTGGGGCATGGAAACAAGCACAGAGAAGCTGGGGAGCAGCTGAGGCCCTGCCTGCTTTGCTTTCTCCCACTTGTTAGGCCTGCTGGACTCTGAGGGGGACTCATGGCTCTTCTCTTTTTCTGTCTCCACATAGAAAGTGGGCACTTAGTAGATGCTTCATAAGAGCTGAAAAATTCCCTTGGAATCCCAGTTAACTCACTCCAATTATTCTACTATCTCCAATCTATTTAGACTATTTTGGACCAAAGCTAAAATACTGTAGGTTTTGGCATTTGAAGACAAGACTGAGTAGAAATTTTAATGTTTTGCCTACAGGAATGGCAGAGTTTTGTTGAGGTCAATTCCAACCCAGAGGTCTGCTCTCTAAAATCCTCAGTTTCACAGTTTATCTGATTCCCTGACAGTAGCTCGGAGGTTCCAGAGTGTCCTTATGATGGAGGTAACTCTTTCTGTCTGCCTTCTCATGCACAGCATTTGAGAGGTTGTTAATTAAACTGGGTAATAGATGACTTAGATTGCAGCCACTGCAGGAGTAGAAAGCTGAAAGATTCCAAATAGGGGAGGTGAGAGAATGTTAATGAGAATAAGGCAACGGTGAATGATGGTCTTTTGTTCCTCATTCCAAACACTATGGGTGACAGATAAAGGAACTTTCCTCTGAATGACAAGAAAAACAACAGCAGCAGATGCAGCAAAACATCAAAAGAGTAATAAATAAAAGTAAATATATAGAGAGCTACAATTTTGCAATGCATTATTCTAAATTCTTAAAACATATGAATTCAGTGAACCACCTCAATAACCTTATGTGGCTTTGATCCTTATTCTGTAGGTGAAAAAAAGGAGAAGAGAAAGACTAACTTGCTAATGATCATGCAACTAGTAGCAAAAGATTAAAAAGCAACAATAATAATAAGGAGACATTCCCCCACACTGCACATACACACCAAATAATGGAAGGATGTAAAAACAAAATTTATAGTCACATAGGGCTAGGAATTTAGCTCAGTGGTTCCACCGCCTGCCTCGCAAGCACAAGGACCTGAGTTTGATCCCTGGGACCAAAAAAAAAAAAATTTATAGTCACATAGAAAATAAGACATAATAATATATTTTTAGATATCAACACTTATCCAAGCTAAAGAATTTGGAAAGATAAAAAAGATAGGGAAATGATCCCATCTTTAATTAAAATTTGTTCATGACATTAATTTTGATTTTTTTAATTGCATTACAATATTACATGTCTAGATTACTAGGTTCTTTTGTTTTTGATTCTGTGTATAAGGCAAATGTACTCAGACTTTGCCAAGTATAACCAGACATAGGTCAAAGATTTCAGAGGACAGAGTGTCGGGCGATGGGCAGCACATTCACAATGCAGAAAGAAATATTCGAATGAGGAAGACTCCGAGTCCCCCTGATTCTACAAAATAAGTCTGCCTATTCCAGGGCATAAAATATTCACCTTCAGAAAGCAACCCACAGCAGATGGAGAAGCCAGTGTGCTGGAGTCCAGGAAAGCCCTCTGTAAGATAAAAGGGTCCTACTGAGCTGAGAGAGTGAACTGAACTCCAGAGGCCTCAGTTCCCACAGCCCTACCTGCCATGCATGTGAGCAGCAGCTAGCACCCAGCACTCTCGTAGCTGGAGAGAGAAATAAGGAACTTCTCCGACTTCTTCACAGAGACAGGTATTCAGTATAGATATTAAAGTGGGAGGGGATTCCCTTCTGGTTCAGATATAAAAAGTCATAGGAGAGACATAGTCAGTGGTGTCAGACAGCTTCCTGTTACTGTAATAAAATACCTGAAATAATCAACTTATAAGAGAAAAGGCTTGTTTTGGCTCACAGTTTTAGATGTTCCAGGCTACAGTGTATTGGCCTGCTTGCTTTAGGCCTGGAGTGAGGCAGCACATCATAGGGAAAGTGTGTGGCCAAGCAAAAACTAAAGAACTGCTGGGAAAGTAGCCCAATGTGAAGGCCCTGGGTTCAATTTCCAGGACCTCCCCCAATTTTTCAAATTATCTAAAATAAATCATTAACTGCTTTTGAAATTGTATTATTTTATAACTTGTTAGCTCTGTTACAGTAAAAGAAGATGGAAGCTTTAATTAATGGGAACGTTTTTCTAGTACAAGTTGCATAATAATTAAGATTTTTGATTTTGCATTTTTTAGATACACTTTGTGAATTTCACTTTCCTGTTGATAACTCCATTTCACTTTCCAGCACAATTTTAGAAAGCCATCATTTTCTTTACCTTTTCATTCATGATATTGCCTCAGCAACCTGTATTTCAACTCATTGCTGACCTCCTCCCATAAATATAACGTGGTAAAGAAGAAAGTAATATTCAAAGGCTTGTCAAACAACTTGTCCATTAAGAAATAAAGATATGTTTGTATTCAAACTTGAGCTCCGTAAGTTTGAGTCACTAAGAAATTCAATGATTTAATGAGAAACAAGCCAGTTAAGAAAGTAAGCTGTTGAGGAAGATGAATAAACATATTAAGCAATGTGACAAAGAAATAGAACATGGAGATTCCTAAGATATAAGGCTCTGAATTTGAATTTCACGTGGGATGGGCTCTGCCAGAGAGATTTTTTAGATTCAGTATGTCGTTTTAATTAAATTACAATTCTGAATTAGACATAAATCAACTAGACCCACTTTGCTTTCATTTTTAGCGCAAAGAACCTATCATCTTTTGCATTTCATTCAGAGCTAATTAAATGTGGATTTATGGCTCATGGTACCTTGAACTACAGGACTTTCCAAACTTGCTGACCTATTGGGAAGAGAGCTATTTTGAGTATAATAACTGAATGTCAGACATTTGCCACAGCACGCTGCTTCTCAAGGGCTAAATGTGCTTCTGGTTTGTAAACACGTCTTATAAAACTCTCATTGTTTCAGTGTCTCATAGTAACGGTGTAAATTCACCACCACAAACTGGAAGCCTGTGCTTGCGGCCAATTCTATTTCAGCACAATGGCTTCCGTTCTCTTTCCAGACGCTTCCTTTCTTGGCTGTCCTGCTGGACTGAGCAGAAGAGGGGTGAAGGCCTCTCTATCTCCCTGCTCAGACGTCCTCCTTCCCTCCGTCCCCAGCAAAAGTCTGCTGTTGAGGATCTTCGATTCTGGCTGAGGGTTAGTAAACATGTTTGAGCTGAGTTTCTTGAATGCCTTGAAAACCAAAGTCCCGGCACCTTGCTGAATTGCTGCGCATTCCCTGGAGGTACCCA